GGATTGTTACGTTGTTAATGGACGCGTTTCTCTGCAGTGGCTTTGTTTCCATTTGATTCTTTCGATTGTTACGTTGTTAATGGACGCGTCAGTCTGCAGTGGGATTGTTTTCATTTGATTCTTTCGATTTTTTCGTTGTTAATGCGCGCGTCTGTCTGCAGTGGGTTTGTTTTCATTTGATTCTTTCGATTGCTTCGTTGTTAATGCGCGCGTCTGTCTGCAGTGGGCTTGTTTTCATTTGATTCTTTCGATTGTTACGTTGTTAATGTGCGCGTCTGTCTGAATTGTCTATGTTTTCATTTGATTCTTTCGATTGTTACGTTGTTAATGTGCGCGTCTGTCTGCATTGTCTTTGTTGTCATTTGATTCTTTCGATTGTTGCGTTGTTAATGCGCGTCTGTCTGCAGAGGGTTTGTTTTCATTTGATTCTTTCGATTGTTTCGTTGTTAATGCGCGCGTTTGTCTGCAGTGGGTTTGTTTTCATTTGATTCTTTCGATTGTTACGTTGTTAATGCGCGAGTCTGTCTGCAGTGGCTTTGTTTTCATTTGATTCTTTCGATTGTTACGTTGTTAATGCGTGCGTCTGTCTGAAGTGACTTTGCCTGCATTTTTTCTTTCGATTTTAACGTTATTAATGCGTGCGTCTGTCTGCAGTGGCTTTGTTTCCATTTAATTCTTTCGATTGTTACGTTGTTAATGCGCGCGTCTGTCTTCGATGGCTTTGTTTCCCCTTGAGTCTTTCGATTGTTAAGCTGCGTTTATACGAGCAACTTTTCCTTGACAAGGAATAATTGCTCGTTGAAATGGGGTAAAATGGACAATTTTTCCTTGCTAAGGAAAAGACAACATTTTCGCTTTTCCTTGATAAGGAAAAGTTTTGAAGGACAAAATTTTCTTGTGTAAATGAACAACATGGAATGTGGCAAAGAATATTTATGAGATTAGCACCCAGTCTATTCGCGTGATTTCTTAACAACAAACAAACTTGCGGCAAAGATAAAGACATAGTGGACGTATAAGGAAAAAAAAATTTAAAGAAAGTCTCTGGAACACTAARTTTTAAGCTTATAGCAGCCAAAAAAACAAGAAAACAATCAAAAGAAAAACAAAACTGATTACGCKGAAATTTTAGAGGGTTTACGCGAAAGTATGCGGAACGTGGACTCCGCTGACATCAAGATAGTGCAGGCACAACCAAAACGTTTCAAGGGAAACGTTTTCTTCGTTTAAAGATTTGAATTCTTGGTTTGCAAGTTACGTCACAGCGGCCATCTTGGAGGAAGTTTAACAAAGGATTTCTCATTAGTATCTATTGTTCATTCCTCCAACTTGGCCGCCGGTCTTTTATCTTTTGAATCTCATGGGAATGGGTGAAAACGATCAATATGAGGACCGCATGGCACTATGATAGACACGATATAGAAATGAAAGAAAGCTAGGGATATCTGGGATATCTTTAGGCATAATTCTATTACCGCAAGCTAACATCTATTTCACCCCTACCTGCTCCCAGTCTGGCCTTGTAGCTCAGCTGGTAGAGCATCGATAGTACAAATCCGAAAGTCGTGGGTTCGAATCCCAGCGAGGTCGGAAATTAATTTCTCCGAATTTATTCCTAGGGGTCTTTCTGCCGGAATTGCCTCCTTCTAAGCACTATAACTTTMTTTCATTTCTATATCGTGTTCTTTGTTTACACTAACAAAGAAACATTGTCGAGGAAGAATTGTCAAGGAAAACTTGTTGACCATTCACACGGTCAAAGTTGTTGTCACTAGTATCTACTGTTCATTTATACAACATGGTCGCCTTTCTTTTATCCTTTTAATCTCATGGGAATGATTGAAAGCAATCAATAGGTTGCTGGGGAAACGGGAGGGAGGTGGGACCTTATGGAGAAGCGAGTGATAATTCTGGATATAGGCTGGCTCTCTCGTGGATCACGACTGCATTAGGAATCTTTTGTTAAGTGTCCCCTAACTGTGTAGTTTGTATAGAAAAATTAACACAATGTTTTATTAGGCGCGTGAAGAAGATCTTACTGACGAGTACAAACAAGAAAGAGATGCTTTAGTAAACAAGGTTCACAAAGGACTGAAACCAAAAGGCAAAAATGGTTGGTAATGGTGGATGGTGTTGGCTTATGGCGGATATTTTAATGGATTGTTATGTATTATATTTGTAGGTTTTCCTATTACCGGTCCGGAATTCGCGTCGTTGCTGGAGATTTTGGTTGAGGCCGCTAACGAGGGATCGCTAGCTCAGGTAAGCTATRATTATTCAGCAGTAGATCACTCATTCTCAGTTAAAGTGCACAAATCGGATTTTCGCCTTTCTCGACGTCCCTTATCAAACGCAAATTACTTTTCCATTGCGCAATAACAATCCAAATAAATAATATACAAGTAAGTTTTTAGGGATGCAAAATTGCAAAATTTTAGGTAGAAAGTTGAAAATCATAATGTCCGTTACTAGTTCAAGATAATTCTGTTAATATGCAACTACCGTAACCACAAAAGGCAACAATTCTAGTCTGGATTCTAGTGAAGGCAATACAGTAGAAGATATTTCCGCAATACCATTGCTATGAACTTGTAGCCTCTCAGATTACATTTAACCTTCGGTACCGCATCGGTAACGCAATTAGTAACGGAAATTAGTAAATGTCAAATAGTACAATACGTTATTAGTATTTAGATTTGCTCTTTGAGGTAATGTAGGTCACACACCAATTTGTGCAATTTTAAACTTGTAAGCTGGCAATTGGCATTGCAAGCATTTTAAGTGTGAAGACTACTATTAAATGTGAACAAAATGAACAAAATCGAACAAATTTTGGAGGAAATGTTGATATTCTAACATTTTCATTGCTCCAAATCTCCACTCATTGATTAAGTTATGGAGTGATTGGACCGAAGTGGTGAGCGGAGGTGCGAACTTAACAAGGTAATGAGAGCTCTATAGTCTGAGTATCAGGCCCAATCCAGAAGTACATTAACCATGTACTTCTGGCCCAATCCCAATCCCCAATCCCCAATCCAAATCCCAATTCATAGTTCCGACAAATCAGACTCGTTATCCGCGCGCGCAGGATTAGCCAATCAAAATAGAGGACACGTAATGGCAGCCATGTTGTCCCACAAAAATGTAAACAAGTCGATGCGGCGGGCGAAGTTGAGATGGTTTTGAAATGTTGCTGGGGCACTTGTAAAGCAGATGAGCGCTAGCCAGCCAGATGAAATGGAGGACGATTTATTTTGATTCCCAAGACAAAAACTAGCCTTAGAAAAATGCTTGAATTGGGTGAAAATGTACGGAAAAAGCACGAAGTGCTCAAAGTAAAACTCATGAAAAATGATTAAATCATTTCTCTAGGTCTTTTTCAAATTGACTTCAGATTGTTTTTAACAAAAGAAACAGAAAGCATTTGTGGGACATTTGTGGGAAAAGCGCGAGCTTTCTTCTGATTGGATAATCGCACGCTCGCGCTTGATTTGTCGGATCTATAACAGCAGGGACATTTGTCTGCGCATGCGTGAGTCAAATAGAATAAATGGCGCGCGGTATACCTGTGTCTGGCGGGAAACTTTGAAGATGTAAGCCGTCAACTTCATTCCCAGGGTCTTCTCTACTCGCAAAATGGCGGACGCTCGTGCGAGGTTGGATGTAAGTAAACATGGCGAAGGCTATGTTGAGAGCCGGTGTCCTCTCTTTTGTATTCATTTGCGTGTGTTTTACTCTTCCCATGAATAATGAAAGAAGACGTTTTGTATGTAGATGAAACTGTGCAAAAATAGTCCAATTTAGGGTAAGTTTAAGAACTTGTTTCGGCATAAATACGAGCAGTAATTCAATTATTCTACTCGAAGGTGGAAATTTTTACTAAAATTCGCACGTCTTTGTACGTTGATTTGAGATATCCACGCAATTTTCAAAGGCGAAATTACAATTCTATTCTTTTTAGAATTACATAAGATTTTAATTTAGGTAGGTTTCCGCTCTGGGCACGTCCCCGGTTTTTCAAGAAATAGTTTTAAACCAGTGGGCCCGACATATTGAACTCTAGAAAAAATAGAAAAACTTTTCGATTGAAGCTTAATCCGAATTCTTGGTGGTAATCAGGTAATTAATACAACTTCTGACAATGTAAATCTTGGATTTCAACTCACTTCGTTTATAAATTACCAAGAAATTTCTGTTTGCTTGTTATCTATACAAAAACATGCCATCTAACGTGARTCGCATAATCTCAGACACATTAGATCTTGATCATTTCAGTCTTTATAAATTTTAACATGTTTATCCAGTTTYATGACTCCCTGTGACAAAATACACCAGATATGGATGGCTTTTTTGATCTCACTGTTGAGAAATTTGACTTTTCATGATATGGTGTGGTTTCATAAAATGTTYAGCCGTTCGTGTCCTGTGTGGAAGATCGCTTCTCATTTCCAAATAAGACATTATTTTCGCTTAAAAACAAGCACGTTGTAAACAAAAGACCCCATTCTTTCGCTATTCTTGACAGAATTTTATCAAATATCTTTTGATCTTGAACAAAAAGTGAGGCATTTTCAAGAGTCTTTCATTCCCGCCTTTTTATGAAAAACATCAACTATCATGCATTGCCCGCGATATACGTCAGCAAATGTCCCTGCTGTTCGGATCTATGAATCCCCAATCCTCTTCGAGAGAGCCTGATACATGCATCAGGAGTTTCAGAGAACAATGCGTCCGCCATCTTGAAAAGTGAGCCCCAAATCACTGTTTTGCCTTAGAACAAATTTCGTAGTTTCTCCGTCAACTAATCTATCATTATATCGTATGTTATATTAACTTGACATTAGCTTAGAACCTTTTAATTTCTTTAGGAGTTATAATTTAGTGATTCGAGTCCCACTTTTCAAGATGGCGGACGCATTGTTCTCTGAAACTCCTGTTGCATGTGAAAGGGAAAAGGGAAAAGGTGTTGGGTGCTAATCGCCCTTCATGGCAGCACGGGTGCTGAATTGCGAAAGACGCAGCTCGACGCGCTATCAAGTCGAAGTGCTACATTAAAGACACATTTTTACATACACTTACACATAGGCGTGCTGCCGGCTAGGCGCTTCCTTTACATAGCAACGAACGACTGAACGCGGAGCACAGCAGATAGAAATGGTTCGTTTTTACTGAGGGAGGAAAACCCGGAAAGACCCGGAAAAACCCTCGACGCAAGGGAGAGAACGAAAGAAACTCAAATCACATATGGCGCCCCGACCGAGATTCGAACAGGGTCCACAGAGGTGACAGGCCAGCGCTCTCACCGCTCGGCCACCCATGCGTCCCATGTATACCCAGGCTAAGATCTCTAAAACCTGATACGCCGTCGCCGAAGGGGAGGTGGGTGGGTCTTAAAGGAAAAACTCGATATTGACTGATTTGAACGTTTTATACTCTCTAGAGCCCTAGGGAATTCATGATTCGTGCCGAGCTACGGATGTCCATATGCGCATGAGTTATCGCATTCGATGGAATTTCGTGGAGTATTAGAGCAGTGAAAATAGTATTTATATGTTATTGTTCACCGTTCAATATAGCAAATCTTAGAGTAAATGTTTAAAGCTTTTGTGCCCTACTTTAGATAATAGAAAGCAAAGGAATTAAGCATTCAATAAAATTTTATCATTTTCATTTTTTTAGTGTTTGCGCTCTTTTCACTCGATCCTTGGGTTGCACATGACGTCATTAGTCGAAAAAAATTCTAAAATCGCAGACAAACAACATTGTAGTACTAAAATACCTTGAAGAGCATGGTGGAAACACTCTCTGAATGTCTAAATTTTTTTTTGCTGCTTATTCATTGAGTTACAAACGTTCAAAAATAAGTCACGCAATACTGTCACGCGACTTGATACACGCCAAAAAACTCRAAAAGCCTTTAAATCTCAAAATAAGTATAGTCTCAGCATCAAATCAAGTGTTTRCAATCATATTGTTGTAAGGGTAAAGCAAACTCATTAGTTTTGAGCTCAATTCGACATTCGGAGTATCTGTCCGCCATGTTGGTGTCGCAGATTAAGACACCGTCATGGCGTTCCCATACATTTCTTTGTAAAGTAAGAACGTACTAAGCGCTCATATTTTCGCTACAAAATTACAGTTCGAATTCAAATTTTGCAGAACTGTTGGGAATTATATGCTTTCTTGGATCTTAGGCTTAAAAAATTCATTTGGATCTTTTAAAAGACAAAACTTTTTGTAGGTGTTTCTTGAACTGTCTAAAACGCATTGAGACGTGAATCTCATACATTCTTACGAATTTTCGATCGCTCGTATTTATCTTAAAAAGCATTATTTTGGCTCAAAATTTTGTGATGAGTTTATAATTTAGATTTTCTCTCGAGGACAATAATACAATTTCACTAATTTGACCTCTAATTAGCTTTTTTAGACTATCACGTGATCAATGAAACCCAAGAATACGTTTTTTTATATCATTCAGATCCCCAGCAGGTGGAATATCTTCATAGAAAAGCTCGAGAAGACAGCTAAAGAAGATTGCTTGTCATTTTATGAAGGAGAAATGGCTTTACTGCACAAGAMGTATGACAATGGTAAGATCAAACACGTCGGTCGATCACGTCGTAGTCGTAAGTGCGCTCTTAAGAGAGTATATCAATCTTCGCTTTATTGTCGAGATGAAATCATTCTTGGGGCCTGGTTCTATGAAGTGGGCTGTCTCGGTTGAACGGGCTGATTTTTTGTGTGCCCTCTTAGAAAAGGAGCGAGAGAACAAACAACACCGTTGAACTGGACCAGCACGCCTATAGTAAAAAGTCCCGCGTAAGCTGTCAGGTCGAAATTTTCATTTTAAGCACCCTTTACATAAGAACCATTTCAGCCCAATATTTCAGCGTATAGGTTTTTCATTTCCAAATATCAAGTTAATGTGTTTTACTTTCTTGTAAAAATATAATATACTAGAACATATCTGTAAGTGCTTATCCTGTGTTTGCACTCTGTTGTATGTCATGTAGATTGCATGAAAATGTGTGGATTATTTTATGTTACCTGAATAAAACTAGTACTCTTTCTCTAGAGAGCCTGATTTCAAGGCAACATTTTGTATAAGAACCGCTGACTTGGAGAGATCAAGGCTATTATGCGCTGGGTTTTATAATAATTAATAATCCTGTGTTTGTTTCTAGGTCCCATTCCTCATCATGAATTACAGGTAACACAAACAGTATTTATGAACAATGGAATGATTCATATTGTACCACTTAAAATAATGTATATTCATAGAATTTGCTATATTCTTGTGTGATAATTGATCTTGAATTGTATAATTTATAAAACTTATTAATAATGCATGAACTATTACTCCAATAGGGGCTATCCTTTTAATCAGGTGATTGACCTTGTAAATCTGATACAACACTRTAGGCCGCCCAACTATTGCTTGAGTGATAGGAAAGAGCGAATGCGCAATGCCTTTTTTGCTATCGGTGCGCGCTCTTATCAAAATGCGGATTACAACATTCGCGTCCGTGTTGTAAACTATACGTGTATGCAGCCATTATGCTTTAGTTCTGAAGAATGATATTGCATTTTTTTTATATTTATTGTTTGTCTCTAAAAATTGYTCTATCGCATAATTACGTCACTTTCTTGTGTTATGATGCTAAGGCTTATGGGTCGCCAGCGCGGCCTCATATCAATGTAAAATGTGTTCTATTTTCGGAAAGAATATTAATAGGTCCACATTTCCAGCATCTATCCCAAATGTGACGTCATTATACCATAGGGGAGTTGCACTAGTCGGAAGATGGTAAGTAACATGCACCAAAACTTATCCATCAGGACTGGCACCTTGTAGCATTAAATAAATCTACCAAGTTATTGACGCACTTGTTGTTTGGGTAAGTAATGGTCATAAGGCTTCCTCTATCTACATCATGATCTAGTCTGTAAGCAAGTTTGCTATACACCCTTTTAATAAGTCCCGAGGTATTGTGTTCTCCGCACTTGACGTCAATTTTATTCTTTTAAATTCCTTTTGTATTGTAAAAATTTCAAAAATTTCATGAAATTTTTACAATACAAAAGGAATTTAAAAGAATAAATTTGACGTCAATTGCGGAGAACACAATACCTCGGGACTTATTAAAAGGGTGTATAGACAATGCTCTTTACTACAGCTCCTCGCTGCATCTTGAAAACAAGACGAGCTTTTAAATTGTATCGAGGTGGGACCAATTTCAAATATTTTGCTGCATTTTCCTACACCACTTGTCCTTCCTAAGTCCTCGCCCGTCCTCTCCAGCCAAACCTTTTATTAAAAAAATTGTGTGTAGTAAATGTGCCACCACAATTCATAGGCTAGGTCACGTGGTCCAGGAATCGTTACGTGGTTTGTCAAGGAAGATTGATGAGAGCTTTGAGAAAGCCCATGACATGAATACCAAGAAAACCSTGCTGATGTGTAGTGATGTCCAACGAACAATCGAGGTACATGTCATTGCTTTTAGTAAAGTGTTTCTGCTTCATTTCAAATTTAGCAGTTTGTTATCTGTACTATTGATACTATGGCGAAAAGCAAAACCAAAAAAGCTGTTTGTTTGTTTGTTTGTGTGTTTGTTAAGGCCGCAGAGGAGCACATAAAGCGCCACTAGTACAATGCATCATTTATTCCTGTAACAGTGCTCCTTTGCGGCATATAAAAACCAAATCACCTTCAAGGAGTTTCCGGATGCGATATTCTCTCCTTTCTTCGGCGTCAGTACACATGAACAAGACCTTGACCATGTTTTTCATAAAAAGAGTAATACAGTGTTTTATTATTATATTTTATTTATTTCGTTATATTAGTTTTACAATCATAATTTGTGCTTCTACAAAACACTTCAAAATCGAAGTTACATCTATCGGTCCTCCTCAAATTTCACATCCATGTAGATTGATGATATCAAATCAAAAGGACRGTAGGTGATAAGTACAGGCCACATTCTGTACTGAAAAACAAAACAGACAAAAAGCGAGGTCGATGCCATTCTTGCTGTCATTATAAATTCAAATTTCGAAATCACAAGAATCTCGAAAAAATATTGGCAGCTATACTTACCAAATACGTGGCTGGAGGGAGTGGCGTTGGTGACTCCAATTTCTTTATAAATGCCTGTTGAAATACAATTGTACCTTTTCATTTTCGATTTAGTGGAGTCCAAAGCCATTCTTATTGTTGAAATCCCTTATTGCCTCGGCGAGAGTTTTAAGATAAGGGTGTCGACGTGACTTGCCGAAATATCGCTTCTAGATTAATGACACAGCCAGCAATTCATCATCGTTTTTCTCACCATAAACTTTGCTGCGATTAGACCTTTGCTGTCTTCCAGAGTTACATCTACCTGTTTGATATTCAATGTTAATTGTTATTTAAATATTATTGAAGATATTTTAATTTATTATTGTTTCAACTTTTTATATAGTCAACTTATTTGGTAAAAACACAGCAATAGCTTAATACTTACGTAATCTCTTTTTCCATCTATTTCAACGACTTTTCCCTGTAAATGAAGAACTACGGATTAAATGACATTTCGGACGTTAATCCTTCGTCGGGGTAAAAGTGACGAAKGATTAACGTCCGAAACGTCAGTAAGTTACTTCTCCTACTTTTTTACGGTGTTTAATTTATCTTTTTACACAAATATAGGACAATACCATAGATCATATACCATAGACAGGATAGACAGGACAGGATCCGGTACTCACAGAAAGACACCTTTTTCCTCAGAACTATCTTTTCAACAATGATTTCCTATAATTTTTKCGCTATTATTCAATAAGTTAGACATTACAGCTTACCTTGAAGGCAATGTTCGCCCCTGCATTTTGGCTGGTAAACGTTATCTGGTGAGAAAGTTGAATATCTTCCAATCAGGTACATGTGAAAGTGTAACGGGAAAATATAGTAGCATAGGACTAATAAAGCATACATTTCGAATTCCCTGCAAAATATTCAGAATAGCCAAAAACCTTATATCTTTATGAGATTTTCTTTGGATTTCATGTTGTGTCACAAACTGACACTAGGCTCATTATCATCAATTTTATCATTTTATCTAGGCATTAGGAAATGTATCTTTCCATAACTTGTCCATACTTCTATCCGATTTTTTCCCCTCAAAACAGTTTTTAACATAATATATATTAAAAATGAAAATTTTGTTATTGAATGTCTCTTATGCACCATTGATTGTCAATGATCGATTTAATTGATTGTATCTTGGTGTTGATGATTATCAGTACTCCAATTTCGAGTTCTGGTTTGCTCTGTGTTAGCCTCAAAACCAAGTAACATATTCTTTTGTTTCACTAATAGCTCGAGAAAACGCATGGAATTTGTGAAGAAAGACGATAAAATTGATTTGAAATCTCACACTTTTACGCTCCCAATTAGGAATATTTTGTGCAGAAATGAGGCTAACACAGAGCATTGGAGAATTCGAAACTGGAATATTCCGCGAGATTGAATGTACGTTCGTTATCATTATTGATTGTCCAAGGATGCAATTGTTATTATCTGTTAATGCTATTGAATGGCACTGGATATGTAAATCACGTAATTGAATGTTTCTTGGCGTTAATGAAATATAAGATAATGCTAATGGATATCTTTTCGCTCTGTTGTTTTTACTGCCGATGTAAATGAATGTATATTTTGCGTAAATGAACAGCAAAAGGTGTAGTGTCAACAGCAAAATCAGCTTTTGTTAGGCGTCAATATGAGGTAGTACCAGGGTAGTACTATATTTTTTGTTAAGAATAAGTAAAGTATTCTTTTCTTTCAACTGAGCATGCGCTTTAGATGTGAGTAGTGACAGGGCAATCTGCATTCTCGTACCCAGACCCTACTCTGTCGGCCTCTAGTGGCCTGTCGTAGGCTCTGGGACCGGCACCCTGTAATTTCTAGCCCAACGCGATCAAAAATTTGTAATCTTTAAAATATATCACTCGTACGTTTTTTTCGTATATATTCTTGCCTATTCTGTCCTCTAAACGAGTTGAAATAAAAATCTGTGTCATCATTCTTTGCGACATCGAACTTTGGTACGAAAAATGACTTGAATCAAGGTAAAAWTAGGTCTCAAGTAAATGATATTTCTCGCTGAAGCACCCATCAGCCGGGATTAACGACAGCCGTCGACGTCAAGGACTTATTTCACCTGTTTTTTAAGCAAGATCAAAGCTCAAGAATTGCCATAAATCTCAATGATTTTATGAAGACAGGAGTCGACAAAGTAAGGATATTTGTAGTTGAAGAAAATTCAAAATTTCCAAAACACTTGTAACGGTTATTTTAGCGCCACAGGAAACCATAATCCGGTCTTTACCAGAGAATTACCCGGAAAAACCATTCCGAGAGAGTCTGGACAGAGAGCTTAAAGAAGCTTAGAGTAGGCTCAGTCTCCAGCCGTCGGGATTTCGTGCGCCCGCGATACAGGGGAGAGAGTATCGCGGGCGCACGAAATCCCGACGGCTGGAGACTGAGCCTAAGCTTAGAGTAGCTTAGAGCATAAACCAAAATGGCGGACGTTTCCGAAATGTCCACACCAGTGAAGTTGCGTATTACCCGAAGAGATTCGTAATTTATGTTTAAATTGGACTTACATATTAGCGAACTTTGCAAAGAGTTTATGAGTACTAATAAAAAAAAAATTCGCGAAACTTTTATTTCCGTATAAAGAAAAACTAAATTATGTTTTCTACTAATATAGGAAAAGTTCGCGTAACTTCATTTCTCAACATTCGCGAAGTAGCGCTTTGTACTCGCAGTTCGCGTAACTTCACATGCAGTCAATGATTGCCTTAATTAATGTTATTAGTCCTCATTGTTTTACTAATCTCTAAAGGCATTGAAATCTGAATATTAACAGATATTAACATAGAAAATACGAATCTCGTACCCAGAGATTCTTTTCGGTCACCGAAAGAGAACGCAGGCTCTGGGTACGAAACTGCAGAAGCACTTGTTTGCATGAGCGCATGCGTTAATTGGGAGTAAACGTATTGTTTCGCCAATCCTTGGCCATAGAAATGCTTAAGTCGTTTCAGCAAATTTCTATATGTAAGACRCCATGAATCACGAATTTCATTTCAGGAAACAATTACTCTGCGAACAGATATAGTATTTGAAAAGTAGCTACTCTG